TCCCTTCCCTTCCCTTCCCTTCCCTTCCCTTCCCGCACCTTCCCGCACCTTCCCGCACCTTCCCGCACCTTCCCGCACCTTCCCGCACCTTCCCGCACCTTCCCTTCCCTTCCCTCAAAGTTTTAATGGACTTGGAGCAGGGAATGGAATTGGGATTTTAGGGAATGGTCACTGTCAGTTTTCCCTCGGAAAAGCGGGAATATTTCCCTTCTCCTCAGAGCAGGAGCAGAACATTCCGGGAATGTTGATTTAACCCGGAATGTGGAACGGAGCTTGGGAGAGGAGGAATCCAGGGAATGAAAACATTCCCGGGGCTCGGAATCCGGGATAATGCCGGGATCCCGGAGTCGGGATGGGAGCCAGGGAATGGCCGGAGGGAGGTGGTGTGGAATTCCCGAGGAATTCCATGGATCCCTGGAAGTGTCCGAGGGCAGCTTGGGTGGTGGGAATTCCCTGCCCGTGGAATGGGATCGTCCTTCCCAATCCAAGCCTTTGGTGCCTGTAGGAAAAGTTGGGAATTCAGCTCTGGGAATGGAGAGGGCTCAAATCTCCTTATTCCCAATTTTCCAGGGAAATAAAAGTCGGGATAAGCGGAGCCGGCCGTGTCCATCCCTGGGAAATGCAGAGCTGCTCCTGCTTTTCTTTTTTTTTTTTTTTTTTTTTTTTGGGAAGTTCCAGGATTCCGGAATTCCGTGGCCGCTCATTCCCAGCTCCGGAAAGTGAACGGAAGCGGGAATTCCACCGCTTTTCCTGGGATCTGCCGCTGCCAACGGAGCCTCTTTCCCTATCCTGAGGGAATTTTGCTCCAAGCTTTTCCCAGAGCCGGAATTCCTTCTTCGTTTTCCCCATTTTCCATCCCAAATGATAAAGTAGGGAATAAAAGAATCCCGTTCGGAGAATTCCCAGATTTTTGCAGCTTCTCATCCCTCATTCCCAAATCCTTTCCTATCCCTTCTCTTCCTACAATTCCCGAGGATTTCCCAATCCCAGAGGACTCTTCGCTCTCCTGGTTTTTCCGGAGAAATCTGACGGATTCTCCCGGTTTTTCTGCAGAACAAGGAGAGCGCGGAGCCGGAATCCAAAATTCCCAGGGAAGATGAGGAAGAGGAGCCGGTCAAGCACAGGTAATTCCTTCTTCCTTCCCGCTTTTCCCTTGGAACCTTTCCCTGGAGGATTTTCCCTTGGCTCTCTGCCTCTGAGGAAGAATTCCAGGAGCGTTTCCAAAGGAATGTCAGGAGATTCCCTGAATTCCTGGCTGTTCCTGCACGGATTGGGATTTTTCCATGGATTCCTGTGGGAGTTTTCCTTGGAAAACGGGAGCACGATCCCAGCCCAGATCTGGCTGATTCCAAAGGTGTTTTTCCCACTGGGAAAATCCCAGCAGGGCTTTCTTTTTTTGGGATCACAGATTTCAGTGGAAAACCTGGAATGCGGCTGATTCCCACGGATTCATCCCTAAAAAAACTCCATGGAAAAAACGAACCCGGGGAAAAAAAAAAGGAGGAAAATCCTCTTTTTTTTTTGGGAATGACTCCTTGGAAAAAGCAAATTCTGGTGGAGAAAATCCCAGATTTTGGGATTTGGAAGCCCCAGATTTCCTGGGAATTTTCCGTGCTTGGAATCGGTGCCAGAGGTGAAAGTGGAGCGCGGGATCTCGGGAATCTCCCGAATAACCAACAGATCTGGAGCCGATGGAATCCTTGGAATCCAAAAAAACCTCCTGCTTTGGGCTGGTGTTATCCTGGGAATCGCTGCTGGATGGATCCGGGGAATTCCTGGAATTTCATTCCCGGTTTTCCATTCCCGGTGTTCGGCAGCACCCGGAACTGAGTTTTTCCATGGGTTTTCCTCCATCCGGTGGCAGATCCCGCCAAAATCCTTCCCCTGCCTCAGGATGATTTCCTGGAAAATCCAAGGAAGTTGCAGGTGGAGAAGGGAAATTCCATCCCGGCTTTCTCCTCAAATTCATGGAATTCTTTGGGATTCCCTCCTTTGGTGGGGGGGGAAACTTCACTTCCCGATGGATTTTCCCGGTTTTCCACCTTTCCCATCTCAGCCTGTTTGGTTTGGATCCAGAGGGAATTTCCCAAAGCAAATTCCAGCAAAATCTGCTCCATGGAAAAATTTGAATCCCAAATTTTGCCGGGATAATTCCCGATTTATGACTTCCTTTGGCCACTTTTCCCGCGGGAATTGGATCTGGAAGAGCCCATCCCTTGATTTCCTCTTGGATCTGCATTTCCCAGGAATCTCCCCATGGAAAAGGGAATCGCTGGATTGGGGAAAAGGGAAAAAAATCTGCGGGAATTCCTCCTGGATTTGGGAAGTGAGGAGTCCTGGGGGATGGAATCTCCCTTCCCTCCAAGGGCTGGATTTTCCGGGAGGAAGGAATTCCGTGGGATAGGGAATGTGGTGGTCCTGGGCTTTGCGGAGCAAAATCCCGGGATTTTCTCTCCCGGTTCCTTCAGCTCCATCCCAGCCCTTCCCGGGGTGGAATTCCAGCCTCGGGAGCTTCCCGGATCCCCGTGATCCCGAGGATTCTCCGGGATTCCCGGCTGATTCCAGGCTCTGCCCTCTCGGGAATGGCTGCAGAGGGAAAAACCCGGGAAGAAGGAGCTGGAGCTCCCTGCCGGGGCACGGAGTCGTTTTCCAAGGATTTCTTCCTGCTTTTCCCACTGGTTCTGGATGGATTTGGGGAATTCCCTCTCAGGCACTTGGGATAACGGGAAATTCCATCGGATTCCAGCCCTGGAAGTGCCGGGAGCAGCCCGAGATTGTGGAATTGAAGGAAAACCCCTTCTGGAATTCTGGGATTCTCCCACCCCTTCTCCACATTTTCCCAGGGATCCCCTCGGGAAAGCTGGGAAAAATTCCTTGGGGAAGGCATTCCATAGAATCCCGGAATTCCTTGGATGGGAAAGAATCCGGGATGATCCCATTCCATGAGAGCAGCTCCCGCATTCCCGGGCCGCTCCTGTCCAGCCTGGCCTTGGACACTTCCAGGGCTGGAGATTCCCAACTTTTCTGGCTGCAGGAAGGACGGGATTCCCTGGGCTCCGCTTTTCCCAACTTTTTTCCCGGCTCGTGCTCCCAATTTTTTTTGGCCACTTCCCGTTTTGTTCCGTCCTCCCCATCCCATTTTTCCATCCTCATTTTCCTGCAAATTCCCTGCTCTTCTCCCAGGAATTCCAGCTCCAATCCCTGATCCAAACTCTGGGAATTCTCCCTGGAGCTGTGAAAAGCTGGGATTTAGGTGTGGATCGGGAACCCGCTTTTCCCGGGAAAAGGCCATGGATTGGGATTTGGGATTTCCGCCTCATTCCCGGCGGGATCAAACCCTGGATTTGGGAATCTGGGACCTGCCGGAGCCTGGAATTCCCATCCTGCAGCTCCCAGCCTTGGAATTGCGGCTCCCGGTGGCGGCGGAGCTCCTCAGAGCCGGGAAAAGCGGAGCTGGAAATCCAAGGAAAAGCTTGGAGAGGGATGGGACAAAAAGAATCCGGGATTTTCCAGCTTTCGGAGGGAATCCGCAGCGAGCCCCGCCCTCGGAGACGGAATTTTCCTTGGAAGTTTCGGCTCCTGCTCTGGGGGAGGAGCGGGGGTTGGGAAAGCCGATCTCCCTCTGGAATTGCTCCCTCTGGAATGTCACCGGGCAGGAAATGTTTCCAGCCTGGAAATCCCTCGGGATTCGGCTCCAGAGGGGGTTGGGCTCGCCAGGAGAATCCGGGATGGGATTCCCTTCATCCCGGAGCCTGGGAATGGCAGGGAAGGGCTTTGGGACAGGGAAAAGAGTGGGAAAAAAATTAATCAGGATTAAAAGTGGGAATTCCCGGGATCTGCTCCCGCTGGGACACGGACGGACGTGGAGCGTCCCAGGGATCCCTTCCCATCGGGAATGTGCTCAGGGAGAGGAGGAAGGGTGGGAATGGGAACGGGAATGGGAACGGGAATGGGAACGGGAATGGAAACGGGAATGGAAATGGGAACGGGAACGGGAATGGGAACGGGAATGGAAATGGGAACGGGAATGGGAACGGGAACGGGAATGGGAACGGGAATGGGAATGGGCAAAGCCCGGAGCTGCCACTTTTTGCTCCAAGCTGGAAAAAGGAGAACAGGGATCGAATCCATCTGGAATCTGAGAGCGCTGGGATCCAGGCTGGGAAAATTCCCGAAGGTTCCGATCCATGGTTTGGGATCTCCTCCCTCTGGAGCTGGGGGATTTTCCCTCAGGATGGAACCGATCCCGTGATCCCGAGCCCGGCTGGATCCTCCTGGAGAGGCTTTGGATGATCCTGGATTTTCCCTGGGATCAGGATGAGCCTCCTTCCGGTTCCTTTTCTGGGAATCCTTCCTGGGAATTCCTCCCCCCCCCCCCCCCCCCCCCCCC